ATACATAGATCCTACATGTAAACAGCATATAAACACCATATCATGATTTGTATATGATTGACATATGTGTGGCTTTTTCATAACGTGATTAAAGGAAGGAAGCAATTGAAGAAGAAGAAGATAACCAATCTCAAGTTTCTGAAGGCAAAATAACTATGGATCAAGCTATGGAATCGATTGAAAGGCTCCAATTTTTTCTAATGCAAGAAGAAAGAGGAGTGAGAATTAAAGAAAGAAATTTTTATGTCAATGGCTCAAACAGAAATTGATACCTATTTTAGTAAATGATTTTGTAAATTATGATCTATTATTAATAATAAATGGATAAAGGAAATTCTAAAATTTTAAGTTTACTACCCCATTTATCCGAATTAATTTATGACCCTAATAATAACTTCGGATTATAAAAAACCCTGTTAATCCGAAGAAAAGTCCCTGCACAATTGCCTTTGGTTTAACGGGGTTGCATATGTAAAAAATAACTCACTAATTAGTGATAAATTTTTCTAATGAAGAACTATTAGTTTGCATGTATTGTATCCAGTGTGGAATCCTAAAATAGATAAATAAAAATAGGGCATTGTTATTTGCACCCCATTTTTGTTATTCACACCCCTCCCATGATTAATACAACCACATTTTAAAGCCATTCATTGGTCACATTACTACACTTAGTCACGGGAGGAGTGCGAATAACAATTCCCTAGAAATATTAACAAAATATTATATTTATTATATTAATTATTACTAAAATGTATGTATAAAATAAAAACTAGGAAATTAAATCTCATTTCAAAGATATGTATTATAAATATTAATAAGTTAACATTAGGCACTTGTGACTTTAAATAATAAATATTATTGCATTCAACACAGATATTTATGTGTTTATGAAAGTTATGTGGTTTAAAATAAACTTTTGCAACTTTAACAGTCATTCCGCATGTTTAACTTATACATTTGCTAATTTAATTAGACATTTGCTAAGAATTTTAACTTGGTTGATAATACAAGTCTTTATTTTTAATACTAACTTTTTAATTTTTTTACATACAATTAAAATTATAGTTCTCAGTGATATATTCTATATAATTTTATAAACAAATAATAAAAGATAAGTTGTGTTTTACTTAAATATATCACGAGAATTTTTAATGGACAATTTTCATATTCAGTTTTGTACTATGTAGATTCTCTACCCTTAATCAAATCAAATTTTTAATTCCTGAGGACACCCTATGTATAATAAATTTGAATTTCTTACATCTATAATTAACAGATGAATATATAATGAATTTGAATTTTCTTACATCTATAATAAACGAAGTTAGTTGTTAATGAATAATGAACTTATATTTTTAATAAATAGAGTTGTTAATGAATGAATATATATAATTTGAATTTTCTTACATCTTGAAATTAAACCATTATTGACAATTTGTTGTACTGTCATCTAATATGTTTGATCTATATGCTTTTCTCATTTTTCAACTAATATCTGAACGTTTAAAAGGTACTAGCTGATGGTCTTGATGTTCTATTCACTGAGTTCAAAAGAAAATTATTTTAAAAAAGCAATAAATGAACTCCTATTACATAAATTTAGGCAATAGCATATTTTCTACAAATTAACAAATTGTTGTGGATTTTGAATGGATTATGAGAAAACGAGTTTGGTAGTATTTATTTCAATTATTAGAATTTTTTATAAGGCAGCGAGGTATCACGTTAACTCATTTGTAACATATATGAATTGATCGACATGGGTTCTAATCGATTTCCAAATTTGGAAAAAATCCCGACTGTACAGTGCGGATCATCTATACTCAAAGGTTAAAATTTTTGAAATATTATGTGATCCACACATTGGATTTTAAAATCCCGTCACCATTCAATTCAGCTTTAAAAAGGGAGTCTATTAATCTAAAAAAAAAAATTGTCTCGAATTTTCTTTTCATAGATTTTTTAAATTTGAAAGTTATGCTCAGAAGTGCAACAATAATTTTCGTGTTA